GTGGTGGCGAAACTCTATGAGGTGGTGGTGGAGCTCTATTGGGTGGTGGTGGAGCTGTACGAGGAGGAGGTGGTGGAGTTATACGAGGCGGAGGAGGAGGAGCTCTATGAGGTGGTGGTGGTGGTGGAGCTCTATGAGGAGGAGGTGGTGGAACTCTGTGTGGCGGAGGAGGAGGAACTCTATGAGGTGGAGGTGGCGGCGGTTTTACAATAGGTCTACACGGTGGCTTAATATTGGGAGAGGAGACAATACTCCAAGGGAATAGAGGGTTATTCATTTGTTCAAGTGGGAAAGATAGATACTTTTGGATTCTACCCATTGCTATAATTAATGTGATCCACTTCTCTCTCTTTTAAGAGTAAAAATATTTGTAATTGTGAGATGGGATGGTATAGCCTAGTAACGTTGTTGTAACAATTTATATTAAGGTTTTCAAGCACTACAATACATACGTACTTCTTGTGTGACTTAACTCTCATTCCAAGAATATGTTAGTGTAGATGGATTGCATTCAAATTCACTCTTCCATTACTATGCTTCAAATTTCGTACATCTCTTGTTTACTTTTTTTTTTTGTAAAACATCTCTTGTTTAATTAACAAAATTGTTGCACGGAGTAGGAAGAAGAATGATGTTTACATGGGTCTAAGGTCCATATTTAAAATATGAATCTTCTTACATTTTTATGGACTTACATGTGGATATTTTTTTTCCAATAGATCCACTTCTTTAATCTTATAAATGCACTAAAGTCCATAACATTGACATGCACCTTAGGTTCATGGAAGAATTTGCCTAGGAAAAACGATGATGATGATGATGGTAGGTTCGTTTTCTTCATTTTTTATAACAAAATACATAATTTGGCCAATATTGTTGTTTTGATATTTACTCGGGAATATATATACATTTACAATTTAGTTCATATATTACCAACTTGAATATACGATATTTATTGTAAATTTAATAAATGCTTATTTACAGGTTAAACAATATATTTTTTTAATACAAGATTTTCACTAATTCATACATCACCCAATACCGCATTACAAATACAAGCTGGAGGTGTAGAAACCCACTACAAAAAATCAGACATAGAATCAGATGTCCGAACTAACGAATGAGCAACTTGATTCGCTGACTTTCTAACCACTGAACATGTCAGGTGCTCAAACTCTGTTGTAAGAAACAAACAATCGGATATAATACCCGTTAAAAAAATAAATCATGAACATTATATTACGGAGTAGATTGAAGAGTCTTGAAGATTGTCTCATTGTCCACCTCAATTGTAATCTTCTCTCTTCCGAGACAAGGTTAGTGAAAACAAAACTTAAAAGTTGTTAAATACAAGCCATAAGCAAAAATTTGAACATATAAAAACCAGTTTTTTTGCTTATCTTATTATGAAACTGCAAAAAAATGATAACTCAGGCATTTAAAGTCAACACGAAATAATCACCAGGCTGATCAAAAGTACTTCTCAAATGCCATAAACAACGGGATATATACCAAGATGGTGATACCATTTTGACCTCAAGTATTACACAGACACACAAGACAATAAAGATCTATACGAGAACATATTTTTATTGTGTGTCTATGTAATGCTTGGGGTCAAAATGGTGTCATTATCTTGGTGTCCCCCTACCAAACCATGTATAAAATCATTGTTTTCTATCCATATTTATAAAGTCATTGATTCTTTGTAAATAACTTTTGTTCATTTCCATTGAATCTTATACATGAAGGAGTTTATAGATGTGTGTTGTTACATCCACTCATTTTGCTAAATCTACTCAATTTATTGTAAATTGATTATTTTACGCTTAAAAATACAAAAAAAATGTAAGTTGGATTTTAAGTGCAAAGTTGTTCATGTAACATAAACATGTACGCACGCCCCATGACGCATGGTCTTATAGATTTTGTGATATTAAGATTTGAAGGATATGGCCATTCGCATTTGTGGGCATGGGTGCGGGGAGACTTAACAATGTAGATGCATGAATGACTCGTTTTCCTTGCGCAAGACATGATTCATAGAGCTATAACTTGTAATGCACTCCAAGAAACAACACAATACCCATGACAAAGGTTAGAAACAATTTACTTCTTCTATCCCATAGTATTATTCATCCAATTTTTTTAAATCAATACGGACGAACTTTGAAAACAAAACACCCCGAGTAAAAGTTATGTTGCATATTAATACGACATATCAATTTTTTAAAAGTATTTTTCCGACTAAATCTAACGGAGTCAATTATTTTTGTATTAATATGCAATATGGTTTTAATTTAACTAATAGAAATTTATCTAGTTTGACTGTATGGTATCAAAGTGTACGATACTCTCGGGGACAGAGAAAGTAATAAATACTCCATATGGGCATACATGCAACCATTCAGCCACAGTCTGTGTAAGTGTAAGTGTAAGTTTGGAGACACTCTAGCACGATGACAAAACTATTTTTTGCATTTATGTTTTTCTTCTTCAAAAGCTCAAACCTTCAAGAGAAAAGAGAACTGCACATTATGAACATAAGTGCCTCAATTACCAAACAGAATAGAGCCAGGGACTGAATAACTTCGTCTGCTCATTTCACATTGCCCGGGAACAAATTTGCGTGCCACACTGCCACTTGCATGAATCACCAAGAGAGACGTTAGTACAAGCAAAATCTCATAGCATGCCATCAAAAGCGGAATTGGACAATTGAAAAAAAAAAGACAGACAGAGAGGAGGGTTGTGTTAAAAAGATGCTGATTTCCTTTTTCTTGTTGGGGGGAATATGAAGGGAAAAAATACTTGTACACTTATGATAATTGGACACCACAAGAGCTTGTCACAGAAGTGTTTTGACATGCAAAAAGGTATATGCCACTAACAAGATAAATCAACATGGGTACAATATTAAGATGTGCCACGGAATGGTTGTGCAGGTCTGTGAATATACCAGAAGATCAATCGACATTTTGCTTACACTTCTCCCCATCCGCTACTGCTTCGTACAAACTTGTCAACAATTCCAAACTCTTTATTTTGTGCAAGCCTACGGGTATAGTTTTCAGTTGAAATATGCCCCTTTTTGTACCTCCGGTAATATACGATTTCCCAAGGCCACAATCTAGCACACCCAAAGCAATCTTCTACGGGCAAGTTCTTCTGCATTTCTTCTGGACCTTCCAATCTGTAGTGTTTTAGAACCATGTCAACCTCATCTGAGGATAGTTTCATCAAAGTAGAAACATGTGAGCGCTCTGAGATTTGGACATCTGGAATCACTTCAAGAGCCTTTTCATGTTGCTCAGTCGAATCGTTACTGTTTTGAAGTTCCCCTGTCCCTACCAGAGTGTGTGAAAACACGCTTCTCACCATATGATCACCAGTGTAGGATTCCGAAGCATGTGAATCTTTCACTTCAAATGAGTTGTCTGAGCTTGCATCACTTTTTTCCGGTGGTTGCCCTTTCAACTCATTATCCTTCAACTCTGAGACAAAATCCTTCTTCACTGTGTGCATCTTGTTTGAAGATAATGATCGATCTAGTGAACCAGATAAAGAGTGGGATATAGGAGAGGCTGATCTTGAATGTGATGTTGAGCCAGACCTTAAACTGGAGTGCTGGGAATTTCTTCTGGCAGGCGATGAATTTGGCATTAAATCCGAAGGCTGAGATAAGGACTTAAATGACCTTGAATGTGAATGTGATCCAGAAGCAGTACGATTGGAACAAGTTGAATTTGTGACTGGTGCCCTGTCATTCTTTGAAAAACTTGGGGTTTCAATAGTTGCTTTCCTTCGCTTGTTTTTCCCGTAGTCCTTTCTGTAGTCCTTTCTCCCTCTTCGGTGAGCAGTTCTTTCCCTTGAAGAATCTCTATGTCTTGACCTATCTCTACTTCTTGAATTTTCTTTTTCTTTGACATCTACTTGTAGGCTTGAAGGTACTCTATATCCACCAGCATTGGGACGTTCCCTTTCTGTTTCTTCTTCTGCCCTACTAGGAGAAGCTGATTTTTCCATGCAGGTCAAATGATGTAGTTCATCTATCTCATCAGTGCAGGAAGGCACATAACGGTCAAACTCTGGCCCATCTTCGAGGCCATTCTGATACAAGGGTTCAAGACATTGCTCCTTCACTTCACCATTTTGCAAAACTGTTGCCTCTCTCCCTCCACTGTAATCAGGGAAATCGTCCACCAAAGTATGACCCTCTTCATAGCGTTGATGGCTTGCATAGTCATCAACTTGCTCAGCATGCACAGTTCTTCCACCACCGGTCTCTGTAGCTGACCTAAGCTCCCTTCTATGTCTTCGGTGACTGTTGTAATCAAAATCTCGAGAAACTTGATCATGTCTTCCAAAATATTTCCCTCTTGAAGGCTCAAAGGACCTGGTACTCATAGAAAATCTCCGGAAAGGCTTTGGCTTAGGCTGCATATTTGACCATGATAGAGTTATTGGCTTTCCACAGATGGTCTTACCTCGAAGCGTGTTCAATGCTTTCTCTGCATTTGCAGGGTAATCATAAACAACAAATCCATATTTGTCTTTCAAACGTACGGTACACCTTCCAAACCTATGGAAAACATGCTCCAGTTCATCTCTACGAATGTGAGGTGGTATATTACCAAGGTGCAGCGACATCTGCAGGTGTAAAAAAAATCCATTATTCAGGAGTGCTTCTAGCCAGCTTGGTCGTATACAAATCCTGTGTACAATTTATGACCAGGAAAAACTATTGGTGCCTAGACCACCCCCTATATATTGCATTTAAGAGAGCGCACATGCTTGACTAGTTGTTACCCTTAGTTCCATCTAGCACGACATAGACCTAATCACAGAAAATTGGTGACTTATTCATTCACTACCGAGGCAAATGACCATATCGATTTCCTGGCCGCTGCCATTAACTGTGAGAAAACAGGATGACATCATGGCTAAGATAATTCATTGAATCTCAATGGCATAATAAAGAATTAATCCTGCCATATACTTTTGAAGGAGATTTGGCAATTGGCATGGCAGCATTGCATTCAGCAACAAAATTCACATTATTTGTTTGAACAAATCAAAATAAGTGTATGGGGCTCAGTATCTTGACGAGACTACCATCCTTAAAGTATTAAAAACTTGTGAGCCAAACTGGGATCAAAATTTCAGCACACTTGCATAGAAGTGATCTCCAAATCATTATTATTTCCCCGACCAATAAATTCAAACTCTGTTTTGAAAATAGAAAATACTCATGTAACAAAACTATGCATTTCCATGGAACTACTTGGTAAACAACCAGCAAGTGAGAAAAAATAGATTTATTTACAAGAATTATAATCTTTCCAAAATAATGAATCATTTAACATATGAGAACATTGATGCATATAAAGATGAAGTTCTCCACATACAAATATTTGCCAAATCTTATACCCCCTCTGTCCCACACGCATAATGATGTTTGATTGAATTTATTTTCAATTCAGTTTATATGAAGAAAGATAAGATTAAAAACAAAATTTATATATTCAAACATTACATCAAAAGCTCTAGAGAACAAGAGATGACAACAATATATAATTTTATCCAATGAGTAGTGAAATTAACACTATGTTTGGTTCAAGGAATTTGAGGGGGAAAGAAAAATAAAATGAGAAGGAAAACAATTTTCTTAATTGGTTAGGGGGGAAAAGAAAATGAGAAGGCAAAAAGTATCAAGGGAAGGGAAAACCAAATTCCTCACATTTTGGTGATAAAAATGAGGGGAAACTATTTTCTTTTCTTTTCCCTTCAAATTCCTTGAACCAAACATAGTGTAAAGAAAGAAAGTAATAAAAATTTGACCCTCAAATAGTGAATGGGCAAATCTTGTGGGAAGTAGGGAGTATTATTANGGGGGGATAAGGGGCACTCCATATTTACATTTGAAAACAAATAAATATAGAAACAGATGATCAAACTAAAAATATAAAATTTCATGCAATGAATTTTCAAATAAATAGCTAAAACCTTCTTTTTATAATCGCATCCCAAAAAACATATTAGGAGTATCATTTTACCATCAGGTTTCGCAAAATTCTTAAATAGGGGACTTTTTTACCCAAAATAATAGAGAATACATGTAACCTAGATACTTAGAGCGCTATCAATACGAAGAAATGAAAGCAGCCAGAAGCTCGATACGCACTACAATACAAAATCTAAGCAGAAAAGCTTGTGGGAAGCGGGATTATACCAGATGCCGAAACGGTAGCGGAGAAGACGATCCGACTGAGGCTTTCCGGCCTTCACTGACTCGCTGCTCCTATTCTCCGACTATGGTCTCTCAGACTCACTGGCTCTCTCTCTCTCTCTCTCTCTCTCTCTCGTTGAGAACTTATGGAGAAAGCCTGCAAATGGGAACCCCTACAAATGGTTTAGAAAAGGTACTAGCTCGAAAAAAAATAGGGAGTACCAATGAAATATACTCCTGGCCGCTGCCATTAAGAAAAATTGTATTTATAACATACTACATGAAACATATATAATGATGAATTATTTTTATCCAAAATTTCCATTCTCTTCAAATTTCTTCCAACTCTTTCTAGTTTCTTCCAACAAAGACTAAACAATTGTATTTATATATTATGAATATAAAATAATATTATATATCTAAATTTATAACATACCACATCAAACATTGACAATGATGAATTGTTTTTATCCAAAATTAGAGTTTTTTTATATATGCATTTGGTAATCATTTAATTGAGTGACCTTTTTAACACTTAAGTTCTCCAATATTTTTCAACTTCTTCCAACCAGTTTCTATGAACATTTAACTCTAAAATTTCAATGTAAAAGAACAGAGCCTTAGGAGTTAGGAGGGTGTATTCAATTCAGATTTTGAAAGATTTTAGTAGATTGTTTAGAATCCATAGATTATGTAAAAATCATGAATTGTTTTAAGTCTACGTGGAGTTGGATAGATTTTAGTGTATATTATTAGCAAGACGTTATAATATTTTTCCATATTATTTATAATCCAACCCCAAACAAACATCACACATACTGCGAAAATACAAATTGATGAAGCACGATAGAGACGATAAAGGAGACGAGGCCTCCGTGCCCATATACAACCAACTATTCTTCAATCACAACCAATCCAAGAAAACAAAATTCTTTACTTTGACATGAACATCAAAATTTCATTGCGGTGAGCAGCCATAGTGGAATCAAGACGCTCACGGGGGTATGAACCCGGGTCAGAACATGATCACTCATTAGAGATGATAACTATCTCAAACTAATGAAGCCTCATGGAAGATTCAAGAACCAACTACCATGAAAGTACACAAACAATAGCCCATAAGGGATATATTATCTAAGAATCTTCCCTAACACACTACTATGAAACAAGTCAAAAAATCAATCTTTAAGAGATATAAGCTTTGATCTTTGAAGCAATTACGTATAGGGAATTAATGATTTTTCACACTTCCAATAAATGTTTTTTTATTCTTTACTATGTAAATTAAACTCCTTTGAAAGTAAAATTATCCCAACATTTGCAATTGGAGGAAAAGATCCACTGCGTTACTCAGAGGACGGTGCCAGCGTTGGGCACCTATTGCAAGTTGGAAGTTGCATCTAGCACTAAGGAAAAAGATATATATATGGAGTTAGTTGCATCAGGGACCCACTGTAGGTCGAAAGTTATATATGTGAAGCTAGTATTCCGTTTAGCTTTTAACATGTACCGTAAAAAAATATTGTATTTGGAGAGTTGATGAATACTTGAAAGTAGGGGTGGACACGATATCGGTACGGTACCGTGACCGGCAACGGTACCGCCGGTACCCACCACCGTCACCGCCGGCCGGGACGTTCCACCGGTTCCGCGAACCGGTACCGGTTCCAGTACCCATTTTTCGGTACTAGCACCGGCGGTACCGGTTCCGGTTTCGGTACCTTTTTTTTGTCCAGCCTCCAGCCTCTCCAGCTCCAGCAAGGCAGCAAGGTCCAAAACTCCAAAGCTGCAAGTCAACAATTCATGCAAAAAAAGTAATATAACAAGTTAGTGGGGGTGGGGGACACATATTTAAATAACAAGATTTAAATAACAACTCCATTTTTAGATTTTTTTTATTTCATTCTTTTCTTTATAAATTGCATTTTTAGATTTTTTATTTCATTTTTTCTTTTAACAATTGCACATTTACAAATTTACACTTTAAAATTTTAATAAAAAAGCAAAAAAAATAATAATTTGGGGGTGGTCGGTCCGGTACCGGAACCGGAACCGGCCAGTCCAGTCACGGTACCGGTACCAAGGGGTGGCGGTATCGGAACCGGAACCGTCCCGGAACCGTACCGTGTCCACCCCTACTTGTAAGACTACTTATGAACTTTTAAATTTTGAAGAGTTGAATTTGGAGGTTGTTGAATACTTGAAGGACTATTTATGAACTTTTGAAACTTGAAGAATCAATCGTGCACAACTCACAAAGTTGAAGGACCAACGATGAATTTTAGTCTTTCAATTTATATCCAAAGTCTCAAATCCATCAAAATCTATACGGAGTATTTTATAAAAAAATCTTTGAAAATCTACCGATTTTTGAACACCAATAGATTTTGAAGGAAATTTTAAAATTTGAATCGATACACCTAAATTTTAAATGACTTTTTAAAATCTAAATACGGAGTATAATAAAAGTACCAACTTTTAAAATAAAAAAAATACACACACTATTAGTATGCCGTACATATATATGAATGAGTGAGTACACTGGTTGCCAGCCCTAAATTTTGAGAAGGCCCATCACTGTCAAAGCAGCTCGTTGATCAGCAGAGATTCCGAATTCCCGCTCAATGTCCATTGATTCTTCGCCGACGGCCCCGCCTCCTCCAGCCGCGCGCGCGGCTGATGCGGCCGTAGTTTCAAAGAAGCCGATTCTGATCCGCTCAGTTTGGTCCTCTAATCTCGAGTCGGAATTCGCCTTGATCCGCCGCATCCTCGATCGGTACCCGTTTGTGTCGATGGATACGGAGTTTCCAGGCGTGGTTTTCCCCCACGACATCCGGGACTGGAAGCCCGACGAACATTACGTATATCTGAAATGGAACGTCGACGCTCTCAAGCTTATCCAGGTGGGGATCACTCTCACTGATGCTAACGGGAACCTCCCGGACCTGGGATCGTCACACCGCTTCATATGGGAGTTCAATTTCTGCGACTTTGATGTGGTGCGCGACGGTCACGCCCCAGGATCCATCGAGCTACTCCGCCAGCACGGGATTGATTTCGACAAGACTAGGGCTTTTGGTGCCGATTCAACCCGTTTCGCCGAGCTGATGATGTCTTCCGGACTGGTTTGCAATGAGGCCGTCACCTACATCACCTTCCATAGCGGATATGACTTTGGATACCTGATTAAGGCCCTAACGGGTCGAGCTCTGCCCGGGGAACTCGGGGAATTTCTGGCATTGCTGGGGATCTACTTTGGTAACAGGGTATATGATGTGAAGCATTTGATGAAGTTCTGCAAGAGCCTTCATGGTGGGCTGGACCGATTGGCCAGCTCTCTTCAGGTTAGCAGGGTGGTTGGGAAGAGCCATCAGGCTGGCTCGGACAGTTTGCTTACGTGGCACATTTTTCAGAAGATCCGGGAGCTCTTCTTTGAGGACAATGAGGCACTTACTGAGAAGTATGTTGGGGTTCTGTATGGTTTAGAGGTCCTCTAGCTGAGATAAGTGTCTGTAGATGGGGTGTTGCTTGAAGTTTCCTGTAAAACAGTTTTTCTTTATATAAAAGGCTCTTCTTTTCTTTGTTATTTTGCTTCTGATTTGACTTTCATGTTTCTGAATTAAAATACTACGTCTTAGTACTAGCAGAATCTTGGGCTAGAGCTTAAAATATTTCTAAGCTTTTTTAGTAGTAGCTACAATCTGTGGCCATACTTAAAAGTTTGGGGCTAATTTCTAAGAACATACTTTGAAGATTGATTTCACTGACCTGTGGCCTGCCTTCTGGGCAAGGGATCTCATATTCATGAGGGATTTTATCTACTTGTATGCTTACTTCATTCTAATTTGTAGATTGATTTAAGCTGTTGCTTGTTCCATTTATTTTCTGAAATTCGAATTCTTCACCTAGGTTTTGCATTGTAAGATCTGAAATGGGCATATTGTTGATCTATGGTATCATTTCACTTCTTTATTGCTTCCCTTAGTTTATTAAAGACGATTCAGAACCTTTTGAATTTAGACTTTTAACAAGTTTTACATCCTGTTAAGAATGGAGTATGAATTAAGGAAACCAACAAAACTTGAAATCAGACTTTATGTTTTATCAAGGAAATACCATTTTACAAATGCTAAATTCAGGCTTTAAGTTCTATGCATTAAACAAAGGCTGAATTTTGAGAGAAAAAGATATCATTCTACAATATATGCTCTTAGTGTTCTTATGGCGTGTGAGGGGATCTCAGTTCATAGGTTATTCCTAAGACTTCAACAAGGCAAATGATACAGAGTCATGAGTATGTATGACTTATCCGTTCATGGCCTCATGCTTAAAATAATCTTATTGTTAGGCAATTGGAGTGTGTTCAGATGATGCTGGTAAAATTAAAGAAGTAGGTAGTTTGTGAATCTTGGAAGACAGAGAAATTGTGAGATTTGTGCTCTTCAGGTACCCACTAGGAATAGTTCTTTGGTGTTGAAAGAATTAGGATTGCTAAGGTCTAAATGTCTAATGCAATAATTATTCTCACAATTTTACTGTATCTGTTTTATTATATATGTAGTACGTATTTTGAAAGAAACGTTAAACCTGTTGTTCTCACAGCAAGTATTTTGTTATTGTTCACAAAAAATGGAAGTATGGAACCAATGGTCAATCAATTTAAATAAACTGATATGCATGCTGGCTGCTTAAATTTCAAAGTATGTACTTGCACTGTAGCTTGTAGCTCTATAGATTATGACTTTGTACATTTTTATGCAACCTAAGCAAGTTTAGTTATTGTTTTTGTGATTTTGTAAATTTTCATGCAACCTCAGTCAGTGCAGTTTATGTTTTTGTTTTCTAAAATTGTTTTTTCCTTCAATATGTTTCCCTCAACATCGTTGTGCTTCAGTGGTAAAGTTTCTCACACAGCCTAACCTCAGTCAGTGTAGTTTATGTTTTTGTTGTGCACCTAAAGGAAGTGAAATCAAGATGATGCAGGGAATTGAGCCGACCTCAACTGATCTCTTCTTTATTTTAAAAAGGTATATTCAATAGCTTATTTGTTCATTTGAGTGTGAAAAGAATCTACATAATGTTTTAATTCAAGCAATGTACATACTTCCTTACTTGTTTGTGCTAGAGAAATGTATACTTTATCTATTGCATATCTTTGCCACAGCTACAAATAGGTGTTGGAAACAACCTCTCTACTCTCAAGGTAGGGGTAAACTGTTGTAAGGTCTAAATCTGTTGTATGTTTCTTATAGACTACACTGAGGTGTGATGAGGCTTGTCCCAAGGGTAACTGTCATTTTTAGTTTCCTATGTTTTTATTGTAGTTTTGTTTTATTTGGCCCTTGTCTGTGGCTGTGTGCATGTGTGTGCGCTTGCACAATATGTTCTAAAACTAATGAACAGAATTAAAAGGTTAAGGCAATGAGAGGAGACTAGTGGTGTGTTCATATATGATGAATCATGGCCACATATAACACTCATCATGTTAGGTGAATCTTTCTATTGGAAAAGTGACAGTTCACGCCGGAAATTTGAACCGTTCAAGCCAGGAAATTTGGCTGTGTGAAATGTCGTGACAATGAAAATTTATCATAATCCACATTTTTTAAAATCTTCAAAAATCTCTCAATTTTTGAATACCATCATATTTAGAAAGATTTTTTAAAGTTTGAATTGAATACACCCAGATTTTAAATGACTTTTAAATTCTGAATTGAATACCTACGGATTTTCAGAATCCAAAAAAATCTATCAGAATCCGGATTGAATACACCCCCCTTAGGGGGAGTGTATTCAATCCAAATTTTTAAAGATTCTGACAGGCTAGCGGGTGGAATTAGTAGGCAAACAAAATATGTAAAAACTATGACTTGAAGAAGATAGTAATAAGATTGAATTACCTATGAATATAAGAATTGATTACAATATATGAAAAGAATGCACCATTATATAAGTGTAAAAGTGATAATATGAAGGTGCTAAGAATATGGTCTAGAGTCAGGCAGTCAGCCAGGATGCTAGAAGGAAGGTGTGAATGAGTTGCAAAGAGTGTGTTCTAATACTAATATTTCAACAAGAAGAAAACACCAATACACCATATAAGTCTGTTTAGTTATAGTGATAAGTTGTTTTAATTCGAACACTTCAGAAAAACCAGATTGAGTATACATTTGAGGTTAAACAGAACATGTAGTTAAAGCATATACATCATGTTTTTTTAGTGCTATGTTTTGTTACTAGTTAAAAGTCGCATTATATTGCAGTGGAGATCAAGGTTTTAATGTCCCTGTAACTGAGGCTAGGAAACTTGCAAACAAGCTTGTCAAAGAAGAACAGGAATTAATCACCTTGCAGAAAAATGGGCCATGGTATAATGGATTGCAGGTATTGCACTTTTCCAGCTAGAACCAGGTCGACAAATATACATGCTTTTGTGGGTTAAATTTGTTATCAAGGAACACATGAATTTAAAGTATATACTCTCTTAGTCTGGTTCACTCCCCAAAATACTCTAAATTAATGGTATTTTAGAAGTATAACGTAGTAATTTAATACTCCGTATTATTCTAAATTTAAGGTATATTGGGAAGTGAATTGGATGGAGAGTATATATATTTTTATCCCATACATTAAGTGAAGAAAAAACGCTGTTAAGTTACAGTGTTTTGTGCATTTGTGTGATTCTTTAGAAATTGATTCCATGGCACAGGTACTCAGCTCCTTACTGTTATTGGGTTCTCAAGCTGGGAAAGGTTATGCATAAAATATTAAATTTAAATCTAAAATAGAAATTTACCATTACAAATTAATTTGTGTAGAAAACAGCTCCATCGCTACCTTGAGCATTTATTATTGGGTTCCCAAGCTGCGAAAGGTTTGTTATAAATTAAATGCATAAAAGATAAAATTGAATCTAAAACATAAAACTACCATTAATATATAGAAAACTCACTGCAACGCCTTTTAGCTTTGACGTGTGGTTTGTTGTATTCAAGCAGTGATGCAGCATGTTGTGGCTCTAGGTGACTTAACAACATTTTTGTTAAGATATTTTTAAAGGTGATTGCTCCCCTTCATTGAAATGGTGAGATAATGGAGTGCAATATATTATGAGAAATGTTTCTCTGTAATTTTCCCGAGCCAAGTAAAAACCCAAGTTCATGTATTCGGGAAATTTCTCGACCCATTTGAGTAGGAACTTCAGATTGTCTTTTGCTAAACAGTGAAAAAGTTATATTTTGTACATCCAAAGTTAAGTTTTACCACTAGTGTGACTAATGTGGCTGAAAAAAGTCAAACTAGACAAGAATACCGGAATAGTAGTGTTTTGCATCCAAGCGTTAGAAGTAATGTGAGAATATATTTGACTTTTTTTATCAGAAAAGCATCTGGTTATTTTGCCCAACCCACTCCACTGTTCTATTTTTGTGAATTGCTCTCTGTTATTTCTCCTTATGTGCTATTCTGCTGTGAAATAGGGTGTTTGTTCTAACGAGAACGCGATGCTGGTTCTTCCCTCCTTAATTTTAGTTGGAGCCTAGAGTCTGCAAGTTGGAGTCTGGATATATTACAACCTCAGACTATATATAGCAATTGGAACGATTCAGTGACAGGTACATATATACATTCAACAATGACCTCTTACAAAATATATGTCTTTACATCTAATGGTTATTGTTTTTTTAATGTTTAACTAAAGAGAATATGAGATTCCTGCTCAAATGGTTGGAAAATTACCCAAATACATGAACTTGGATATTTATTTGGCTGGGGATAGTTATGGAAATTCACATTTCTCATTATACCTTGTGTTCCTTTATCTAACCATATTTTCAAGTAAAGAGGGGCAATCATTTTTTTAATCACTTCAACAAAAATGTTGCAGGTGACTTGATGCCACAAACCACTTGCATTATAAATTTGGATGTATGGTGTAATAGTATATTCCTCATATTTATATATACAATTACAAGTTACACAATGTTCAGTTCATATATTTATTTCTTCTGCACACTTTTAGCATGCACTTCATAAAAGTAATGTACTATTTGACAATGTTAATTTCAATGCTAATTAATTTTTTTTTGTTGCTAAACAAGCAACAAGGAATAAAACATCCCACGTCGTTAATTTAAGACAATCTCGCTCAACAAAAACATATTGTCCATAATGATAATAATAATAATAAATAATACTCCCTCCGTTTGCAAAAAAAGTTCCTACTTTGACTTGGAGCCAAAATAAAGAAGTGTAAAATTATAGTTGACTTCCAATTTTGCCCCTGATGTAATGGGTAAAAGTAAGATGTGATGGATTGGTTATTAGAAAAAAAGTATGATGTGATAAGTAGGGTATGAAAAAGTAAGGGTAAAAGTGGTTTTTTAATAGAAAGTGGAAGTGTTTTGTTGGAATTGAAAAAAATAAAAGAAGAAGTGTTTTTGAGAACGGATGAAGTAATAATAATAAGAGCACCCTTCTTTTGACAACAAAGATTGTTGTCATAATATGACAACATCTCCAATCGGAGTACCTATGGTGCTCTGATCGTAAAATTGATGGTTCATACCCCATCCAGCCCTCCGATAAACCCTGGCCCGGCTTGAACCCACCCCCAACCCCTATAGTTTTATTCCTCAAATTAATTTGACTTTTGGGTAAAAAATTTTGACCCAAAAGTCAAAGTCAAATTAATATTTTCCTCCTAGATCAAATGAACCCTGAGGGTCCGTTTGGTATACGGAATTGACGGAATTGGAATTGAATTGGAATTGAAATTCCATTGGATTCAATTTCATAGAATTGAATTCTACCAATTCCAATTCATTTTTTACACTATCAATTCCAAATACACATAATTTTTGTACTACCAAACACCAGAATTGGAATTGAAGTCTTCAAATTTCAATTCCATAATTTGAATTCTGTGTACCAAACGGGGCCTAAGTTTTCAAACCCACAAAACACGCTCAAAAATGGAAGCACATACACTGTGAAATCAGTAGGCGTAATTAAACGCCCTATGAGTGGGAGGTTTGGCTGTTAACATTTTGTATTTTCTTCTCAATTGAAAGAAAAACTCCCAACACTTGTTGACCTTTTTACTCATGTTTCCCCAAAATATTCTTAACAAAAGTATTCCTGTGTCCCCCAACGAAGTAAAAGAAAACAATAGTACATTCTTGACATGTTCTTGGAATAATTTGAAACAGTTGCATTGTTCTTTGACAGACAACTGAAGACCTTCAAACAAACAAATCACTCTGATCCAATCTGTCCACAACATTAACTTCAAAATTCAACAGTGCATTCCCCCCATTTTCTCCATCCCCTACTTTAAATCCAACCAACCATTCTTCTCCTCAAGAAAGAAAAGCTAAAGAGCAAGACAATGAAGCTCCCATTTCCCTTCTTAACCAAAAGGGCAAGGCCTCCATATTGCCCCTTGCATAGATGTGTCAATGGGTGTCCCAAAACCCTTTCGTTCCGGGCCGAAAACGAAACAATCTCCGGGTTAGTAACTTTCACTGAAAATGACCCAACTTGGTCATATCACCATGTTGATGAACACCCACCACCACTATCATCATCATCATCATCATCATCTTCGTCTAGCTCAGAGCGATACGAAGATGATCACGTTGAGGATGTGGTTCGCGGGCTGAGGTCTGAGAGGCTAGTCTTCGAACCGGGGGAGGCAAAGTCCTCCAAACTCTTGGAAGAAAGGGTTGAAATGGAGACGATGGTTTCGAGTAACCCTTTTGAGGACTTCCGGAGGTCCATGGAGGAGATGGTGGAAGGGCATGAGGGGCTTCATCAAGATTGGGAGTTTCTTGAAGAGCTCTTGGCTTGCTACTTGAGAATCAATGGGAGGGACAACCATGGGTACATAGTTGGAGCTTTTGTTGACTTGTTGGTTCACCTCAACAATGGTGATCATCATCAATCGGCTACCCATGGTGCCATTATGGTTGCTTCTTCCTCGTCGTTTTTGTCTTCGAAAAGGAGTTTGAGTGTCTGTGGTGGCCATCATTGTTTGTTATGTTCTTCTTCTTCTTTTTCTTCTACTTCTTCTGCTTCTCCTTTATCCTTTTGTTCCACTTTTCGTCCAAGTACTGCTACTGCTTAACTGCTTTTCCATCGCTAGAGGATGAGGAGTAATCCATGCCATAGACAATAATGCATTATCCTTTGTCTCATGTTATTAGTAACTATGATTCTCAAGTTGTTAAAGATATCTTATTTTAATTTATTCTCGTATTTTTAGAAATTTTTGATGACTAGATTTCTAAAATGATCCTTTCTAATAAGGTTTTTTTCTCTTGAATCCAATGGAGCCAAAATTTCACCTGTTTTTGGCTTTGGGGTGTGATGGAATAAATCAAAATGGATATCTAAACTATTTGCGCTTCTTTAATTAATGAAGTAGCAGTTAGTCAAGCAATGCAACTTTCGACGTTGAGCCGGGGGTCTCTTTGGAAACCGTCTCTCTACTTTCGAATAGGGGCAAGGTCTGCGTACACACACCCTCCCCAGACCCTACTCTTGTGGGATTTAACTGGGTTGTTGTTGTTATAAATTTTTTAATCCTTTCTCATAAGATGTTTTCTCGGCAGTCCTTTAATGTGTAAATAAATATCTGCTAAATCATTGAGTAGATGAGATTTTGGTATTTTCCATCATCTAAACTTACAAGTAGGTTTTCAAAAAAAAAAAAAACAACCACCGAAGCAAAACATTGCTCTTATCTCCAAAATATAAGTGACATTTTTATTTCTAAAATAAAACTATTGCATTATGATAATGTGACACTGTATGTTGACATTCTACACTACTTTTGGTATTGTACATAAAGATCCTACTTTGGTTCTTTTCATATATTTTACTCATATTTTAGTATTTCTTCTTCATAAAAAAGATTCTTTCTAATTAAGTGATAACTCAGATTACCCTTACGAGTTATAATTATAATTGCAGTCTGAGACACCTTGATGTCCTATGTCTCTTCTTCAACCTCCCAGGTTCACGTCAGAGAATTTTGAATGGGGATCATCTCGGCTCCGATCTTCCACTTCATGTGTGTCAAATTTTGATAAAGTTCATATATGAAATGTTGGCGATTTTTTAGTGTGATTGACTATTTCATGTAATTGATTTACTTGGAACGGATGAGAATTTTAATAGACATTAATGAGTTTGGAGGTGCGGAGTACACACACTCATTTAACAATATTACAAATTCTATAGCGGAATTCTGGGGGGTAACAGTCCTCGGTAGCAGCGAATGTGACTTTTGATTCACAATATTGATATGACCTTAAGAACATTTGGAGAGTTAGGATTAAAATAATTGGGTAGACACCTTGAGCTTAGAGGCAGTTTTTTGTATTGGTAGTGTGCTTTGTATGCCTTGTATGCTTGGTTTATTTTATTGTTTACGCTATACTTTTTTCTTTACACCTGAGTGCTTGGTGCTTTATTTGTGCTTTTTTTGTTTTATACTCTGCATATCTCTTGTGATTTTATTAGTGTAACTTGAGCGGAGGTCTCTTGAAAACAGCATCTCGAAAGTAAGGGCAATGTATGCGTATATACACCTCCTCCAAGCCTTACTTTTGTGGGATCCAACTGGGTTATTTTTGTTACAGGAATACCACATGCGATTAACAATATTAAAAGAAAAAATTAAAATTAAAGTAAAACATAAAAATAGAACCAAAATAGGACCATGTTTATATCCAAAAATTATGACCTATAATGCCATTAATTCCAACATATAATACTCCATATAAAAAAAACACTACAAAATTCTAATATACAATTTCAAAGATAAAAATATGTCACTCTTTTTTGGGGATAAAACCTATGCTTTGGTCCTATATCTTGGATGTTTTCTTCAAAGTTAAACAAAGCGGCTAGAAACAGTACAATTAAAGTAGAAATTCATATCGGGAATGATGAGGGCATATTTTTAATTTGTATAAAGGTTAAACATATACCAATATGCCAGACATGATGTGTTGATCATTTAATTAATTCTACGTATTTAATATCAAATAATCAAATTCAAATTCTGTTTTGTGCAGCTAAACCTCCTTTGTACAATTAATTTCACGATTCCTTTTTTTCTTCTTTGGTTATAAAATATGTACTCGTATATGCATGTTCAACAACTCAAATTAACCACTTTTGCCTTCAAATACAACTTGAGTTTGAACCGGTAGTTGAACTTCAACTACATCCGACTTAGCCGGGCCCGACACGGACCGGTACGCTGGGAAAGGAGAAAATGGCGACGATCGCCGCTTGTCAGATGACTTCCTCTTGAAAAAACCATAAGACGACGGCGAGCTTTGACGTCCGGTTGACGACGTTACACTCTTACAATTGTATTGATCCTTCTTCAAATGAAAATAATGTGACAAAAGAAAGGGTCAGAATAATGCATATATAGAAATCACTCTAAATAGGGTTAAAATATAGAGAAAACTTTCATGTTTTTTTTCTCGAAATAAGACTTTACACTGTGGTAATGTGACATTGTACATGTGCACATTACTATATTTTTTTGGTAATGTACATGACCATGTTTGGTAATATAAGTCCTATTTCAGGAATAATAACATAGAAATCCTATTTTGATATATTTTTAATGTTTTGGTCCTACTTTGGTCTTTCTCATAATAATGTATGTAACATATCCCGTCCATGAGTACTTCTGTCCGGTTTTCACTTTTTCCAGTCGAAATTGGCAAACTCTGATCGTTAATTAAATGTGCCAAATTGTGACAATTATTGTGAAATGAACGAGTGAATTACCTTGGAACTTTGTTGGGTGCCATTGTTTTTGGATGGAGAAGGGGCAAAAAAGTCAAGCATCTTGGCCTGCCCTAATTCAGTGCCATTGTGCCAATAATAGATGGCCAAGTTCCATGCAGTTTCTCTCAAGCTGGAGAATCTTCCATCAATGTCCACTTTATGCTTTTTAACCAAAGGAGTCAACATTGTTTCGTATATATATGTTGTCCCCTGCACTTAAAAGGAAAAGATACATGCTTTAGCTTTTGATTCATTGAGCCGGTTTCCTTGGGCGAGAACCGGTTCAAGGCTCAACCAGACCGGTAACACGTTAAAGTATATTATCTGAATTTCTAGCTACAAGTCTGAGTTTTTGACTGAATTCAATGTTCGAATAAACATTTCTTCGTGTTTCACACACACGCGTGTGAGATGACGTGTTGGTGTATGAAAATAACTATTTGAATATTCAATCACAAGTTTGAATTTGGAGATGATACAATTGCCATTAACCATATGTACCTTTGTTTTGGGATGCCACAAGTAAATGAAGAGTGCCAACTTCAACTCGGTATACATTGGCATCCTAAGCATAATATATGAATGGTCAACAAATATATAATCGGTCGGCCTTCAGTAACTATGTGTGGAAAAAATATTTTGTCATATTTGGACTAAATGACTATTGGTTCCCAATGTCATGGGAACCAAAGTGTTATTACTTTTAGAATCTGTTAATTTTGCCTGGGAAAAACATCCGCAATTAGGGATCATTTATAGAATTTATTTTTTAAAATAAAAGAAATACAAAATTTATTCAGATGGACAAAGAAGTTAATGTTGGGATGAGAGTATATATATTTGGTATATAGAGTAAATATTGCATACCATGACATGGAAAGATCACAAATGCTCTCCAAAACTCTAACCAATGCCACAATTATCCTACCAAGGAATAAACCGAAACACAAATTTAAGCTTTTGATTGAATTAACTACTTGACATGATATCAGAGCTTCGTTTGGTTAAGAAGTCACGAGTCTGAACTTCACCGCACACCCAATTTTAAATAAATTAGATAAAATTTATGAGTAAATAGATACCAATATTGACACCAAAAGCGAAGCTCAGCATTATCCCCTCTGTTCTTGTCCACACTTTTGAAGCATTCAATGGCAGGGTATGCATACCCAAGAACCAACCTGTATTGTGTTGTAATTATAGGGAGTTAATCACTCTTGATTACTTATTTAATAATGAGTAGTTTTTCTTAAGCTAATTACCCTTGATATATATACTATTCAATTAACTTGGATGGTTCGTACCCCTCATAACCCCCCCGGTGAACCCCCACCCCTGGCCCGAACCCCCGTCAATTGCATGCCACAAGATTTAGTTGACTTTGGAGTCAAAATTTGACCCCAAAGTCAACTAAATTTTGTGACATGCAATTGACAGGAGTGTGTGGGTATGTTTAGACCGGGCAGGGGTGGGGGTTTACCGGGGGATTAGGGAGGGTAAGACCCATTAATTTTTCGAACGGAACTTCGGGTCATTCCATGACATTGAATCTCAATATCATGGAAACTAAGGTGATTAACTTGTATTAATAGTATATGAGAGGTATATAGGGAGGGAGGTTAGTGCATACACAAGGCTACTGGTTACCAATTCTCCCAACATCTTCTTCACCAAAGTCCAAATCCAATCCCTACCAAGAAACCATTAAAATCACTATATCAAATTCACTGTAAATACATATGCAATCTTGTAGGATTTTACACAAATTGAACTCATTTCATTTGATCTCGAACTTATGCTAACCCTAAACATAGCCCATTTACAAACAATAATGTAAGCCCGTTAAGATAAACTCGCTAACGGGCTCAGTATTTATTACTCACCCCGTTCCTGAAAATCTTTCTCTTTTCTTTTTCCATCCGTCCCAAAAAAAATTTCTCATTTATATTTAAAACTCATTTTTACCCCTACTAATTCTTGATCTACCTATCACATCATATCTATTCAATATTAATCTACTAATCACCCATTACATGTAATGTAAGGATATTTTTGGGAACTCAACACCAAAATACACTCTCCTGAAATCTCTTAAAAATCAAAGTCTCTCATGTTTTAGGGACGGGGAGAGTATTATTAAGACGAATAATTCAAATAAATATATATTTTAGAAAAAAAACAATTAGTGATAGAACAATGTTAAGATTGAGCTAACCTTTCCTAAAAGCAGAAGTAAACCCAGGCAGAAGCAAGGCGCTAGGCTATAATTCCTTAGCTTCCTTCCTTCCCTATGATATGCCCAAGAAATTCACAATTAATTTAAAAAGAAAAAAATTATAACTATGATGAACCCGAATCGGGAACAGTTATGTTTGATCAAATAAATAAAGAAATAAAATAAAGTCCACCATATATATATATATATATATATATATATACATATAATCTATAGAATACTAATTAATTGGATGATTAAGAAGGGAAGAAGATATACAATGGTGGAATGAGATGGGAGATCAAAGTATATTCTTAACTGAAGTATGAACAGAGAAGCAAGAATATATAAATAAATACCTCATTTGCTGCCAAGAATTTAATAATAATCATATAATGGAAGATATGTATCTATATATGAAGAAAGAAACTTGAGAGTGAAGAGAAGGAGAAAGTAGTAATTTAAATACTCACATTATCTCTCATCTCCTCTCTGTTGCGTGTATTAGATGTAATGATAAAGCACAGGTGGAAATAAAAACGTATCAAATCTTATTTAGGTATAAATTTAATATTTTAGTCCGATCTAAATTGTCAAAAACTAACCCAACTAAAAACTCAAGTTTGTACTTGTGGATTAGAAAAAGTTTTTATATATACTCTAACACGCCCCTTACGTGCAGGCGTGATCTCTTTGAGCCTTGCACGTGAAACTTTATTAAAACTAGGCGGCTGTGAGTTACGAACTCGTGACCTCTTGGTCAAGAAGACTCTGATACCATGTCAACGAACTAATTCAAGCAAAAACTGAAGCTTTTGGTTGTGTCTCAGGAAAGGTTTTAATATACTCCCTCCGTCTCATAAAACATGGGATGTTTGAAAAAAGGCGCACTCTTAAAATGAGTAATTTTAGTGTTATTTTTTAATTATGACTAATCTATTCTACACATCTCATTCTACTCTTTTAAGAAGTAAGGGCAAAATTAAAAAATAACACCAAAATTATTCATTTTAAGAGTGCGCCTTTTTTCAAACATCCCATGTTTTATGGGACGGAGGGAGTATACTCTGACATAAATAAATTATTTACGTTTTAAACCTTTAATTTGGATAACGAGATGTGAAGTTTGAAATATAGATATTGGAGTATGAGTAACATAAAAAAAATATTAAAGAGAAAAGGAGTTATTAATTATTAGAGAAATGCTAGGGGTACCCCAAATGGGGTACCCCATTTGTACACCACTCATCATAACCCTCCATTTTTTGTAAAATTTTTAATTTTTTTCTTCTCTTGCCTTTGTGTGGTGGAGATGGAGGGGTACAAATGGGGTACCCCATTTGGTGTACCCCTAGTATTTTTGTAATTATTATAGGTACTTTGTATAAGGAAGGAGAAGACAGGGGGAGGATTTGGAATGGGCAGAAAGTGATTATATTTCTTGCATCGGACTCCTTCGCCTCTCTTTGACACGTAATAATGTCAATGATAATGTCTGCGCATTTCCCGGGGAACACATGTAGTGCACTTTACTAATGCCAAACAAGGCATTAGGCACTTAGCAAAGGCGGAGAGTGTCATAAAAGTAGACTCGAGTTCGATTTCTGACAACTGCGCTAGAAGGTAATTATGTTTAAAATAGGATCTCTGCAAGTATCAAGTACAGGCTTCACTCTCTGCCACCAATCAACGATTAAAATTCAATTTACTTTCTTTCAGTGACCATCTGACCAGATCTGAAGGGACCCTCGGAATGGGACTCATCCTTAATTAGTAGTGCCAAACAATTTGAATTTTTTCATGTTACTAATATTTTAACTCGTGTCATATAAAGATGAAATGATTTTTTTTCGAGTACAAGGATTTTGATGCAAGGCGGTCCTTTATGTAATTTTGATGGAATTTTAAATTGCTAAAATTTTTGCAACTATAATTTGCTTTCGCACTGTTAAACTCCGATACTTTAATTTTTTCCAATAATTACATATTTCTGTTTCAAATTTTAAATGGTTTTTATTATATTCTAAATATTAGGTAGTATTCCATACCAAATTTGTTGCACACCAGTTCGTTTACCCGCCGGGCCGGGTTATGCGGATCGAAGTGTTGCATTCTTTGTATACTTTATATTTTTGAGACTATTTATTTACGGAGTATCACTTATTTTTAAATTTTTAAAAAATAATGTTAAGTACCTTTCATTACATATATTGACCAAACAAAGGTATTTGTATTAAACTTAAAATTTTCAAGTATGAATATATTTGTATAAAAATTATATTTCAAAGATATTATAATTCTAGTCTTAGTCTGGTACTAGTCTTTCTAAGATCAGCAAATCTGGGTTCAGTCTAATCGTTCACCAATATTCAAAAATTGAATGAGATTACCGGTTCAGGACCGGACCAGTCTCAACCTTAATCCAATATTTTTTGTTCCAAGTCTCAATCTCTCTTGATTCATTTTTATATAGATTGAAAAGAACTCCAACTTTTTTTCAAGATACTTAACTTAAGTAACTCATAAATGCTCATTACATTAGAAAAAACTGTTATATGAAGAAACTAGAAACATTGAACTTACACTGTTGTTTTTTTTTTGTTTGAAAACATATATGCAAATACTCAAGTACCCAACACATATAAGTACACAGAAAAAAGAGAGGACTCAAGATAGTAGGCCAAAATATAAACCAATTCTTTCTGAAAATTTGAAGCACCATGTCAAATGAGTTATTTCCTATTATCACTATCACGTTACTAATCCTCTTGGCAAGAAGTGCCACCTCATCGGCGGCCCGCGGTGGCGGCGCAGTTGCGCCGGCACCGGACTCGGCGGGGCTGGAGGAATGTTATAAGATGGCAAGAGATATGAAGTGCAAGGATGAATTTGTTGCTGGCGCCGCCAGAAAAGGCAGGGTCGTCAAACGTTGTTGTGGTGTTCTCAGAGAAGTAAAAAATGATTGTTTCACTGCGATTCTAAAAGATTATGAAGAGTCTGGCCCTAAAAATGTTGATTGGATTGCATTTTGGGACAATAGTTCCAAGATTCTGAACCAATGTCAAATGTCATAAAAAAATGTTTGTTATTATTAATGTGCATAATTAATAAATGAGTAAATTTTATAAATGGTTCATAATTAAAAGTGGTTTTCCATATTTAATTTCCAGTTATAAGATATTACATAAATAGTTTCAATATTTGAAGATTACTCCATTAAATAGTCATTTAAACAAATAGTTCCTGAAAGACCGATTACGGAAAATTTTAAAAAACTAATGACCATTAATGAAATATCTTAAAATTGAGGACTAAATATTAAAAAACACCTATATTTATGAACCATTTATGAAATTTACTCTTAATAAATCTATTGAACGTTCCAATTAATTAATGCAAAATAAGTGTAGCAAACAATTAAAATGCACGTTTTTTCTTCAAGTACTCGTAAAACGTCAACTAATGAAAACAAATTCATACACAAAGAACTCCTTTGATAAGGCTTAAAATGGCTAGAGAGGTTGGACCTGCTAAAATTGCTGAATTTGTGAATAAAAGAGCTGAATTTGATGAACACTTGAACCCATTGGATACTTAAAAGATTTTGTTAAAAGACTGGGAAAATTCCATTGATGAAATAAAGTATTCCATCAAAAATGCAAAAATTGTAATTTCAACCAATTTTAGCTAAAAAGTATCTCCAACACTGCACTCTTCAAACATTTACCAGTTTAACCTCCTGGTAAGATAATTAATGCAAAAGGTTAAATTTACTAAAATCATTTTTATACTAATATAAATTACAATTTTAATTTAATTAAATTCTAAAATTTATCCAATTTGACTTGAAAAAATAAATTTGGGACGAAAATAGTATACCATAGTTAAAACATACCGACCGAAGTTACCAAACTACGGGTTATTTAGTGGTACTCAGTAAGTTTAGTACTCGGTACATTTCAATATCATTCAATTTATTTCAGTTTCATTCCAGTATTACAAATCAAGACTTGAACTCATTCAATTCAACTATCCAATTAGAATATCTCATGAATTTGCTATAAGCCATATATTTCATAAAACTCTCCAGCAAACTAATGAGGAGATTCATCCGTTTGAGAAGAAAACAAGTTGTACAAAGAAATGAAATAACTTTAAACTTCACAGATAAACAATCACATCAAAAACAATATTTTTTTTCCTCAAATAAAATGCTGCCAATATCCCCACCCTACAAATGACAGCAATTTAGTAATTTACCTCTGTAATCGCGAGTCGCGACGGGCTGAGTAGTTTCTTGGTTCTTGACACAATTGCTCTTGTTTGTGTGCTCCTCATTGTGGTTCCAATTGTATGGAAGTATTACCAAGCCTAGTTTCTTAAAGAACCAAAGCCAATCAAATTTAGCGATGACGTGAAGCAGGTCCCACAAACTAGCACCTGATGAAGTTGCCTGGAAATCAGGCGATCTCAGGCTACCGTATATCTATCTATTCATCTTGGTGCCAAATTTACAGCAGTAGGTACATGAGCAGCAACGGATGGAGTATCTGGCCGTGGTGTAGCTATCTCAGATATTCCAAATTCATGAAGCATACTCTCCACACCCCAATCGATGGAACCTGTCGCAAAATAAAATCAAGAGTTACTAGATATTCTCATTTCTCAATAAAGAAATATTGGTAAATCTCTAATAACCAGTTCAAACAAGGATACCATCTGTCTTCCACATATCAGTCAAGCTAACATCAGCATCTGAGAGGAGCCAATAATCTGCTTCCTCGTTCTGTGAAAAGAAAATTAATATTTTAAACCAGGAATATTTAAATGGAACGAGGTTTGTAAAGGGAAAGGAATAGATAAATGCTTCCTCTAATAACTCCTTGTGAAAGTCACAACAAGAAGATGATTTGGTGTACAATATTGCCACTATGCTTCTTTTTTGTTGTTGCAATAATCTATAGTATTAGATATTAAGGTCTGAAAGCTCCGTTAGAACTTGTAAGGCAAACGGTTAAATCACTCATTATATGTTTTTATACTCACGTCAGCATCAGAAGGGACAATTTTTGTCATTCCTCCATTGAATTCCTGTGAAGCACCAAGATCACAGCTTATTTGGCTATCATCATGTGTTTGTGATCCAATATCTGGCAGACTATTGGTCATAGCTGATAAATCCACTGAGATATTATCATTTGAGCTAGAACTTGAAGCAACTGGGACACTCATTGATGGTTCAACTTCAACACCAGTCATCTCCTCAAATTTCTCCTCAAATTGACTAAAAAAGGATGCAGTTAAAAAGAATATGAGATAAGAGACTCGCTTGCTTCAACAGTCAGGATGAATCTTAAAAGAAATTGAGCTAATAAGGCATTCCAATCAAATATTCCAGGCACAAGTAAAAGAGTTGTGGCTTTACCTGACAAGGTAAACATCAATAGGGCCCATTGTGCTTCTGAGAATTATTCTGTATCTCCTCCTGGGGTAATCTACTGCCTGTTGTTTCAGAAAGAACACAATAATAAGGTGCATCCACCACCTCAAAATTAACACAAGACAGAGGTGTTTTTTTACGAACCTCATCAGGCTCTGGGACTTCCAAAGTGGTCCCATGTGGAGCTTTAATTGCTATCAATGTTTCACTCTGTCAAACCAAGAATCAATAAAGTTGGTATCCAGTACATTTGAATCACAAGCATGGCTATACTCTGTAAGACTGATGTCTTTTACATGGAAAATGTCATTTTCATAGTCACCGCCACCTTAATCACAACTATTATGGGGGTTAGTGTTAAGAACAAAAGCACACACACACGAACAGAAAACAAGAAAGCAATAAAAACACGAGATTTAACGTGGTTCGGTCTAATCTGACCTACATCCACAGGGGCAACTAGGGTTTGTTTTATTGAGTGATAATGATTACAAGTACAGGAGATCATATATATAGACAACTAATTAGGGTTTAACCCTTGCTGGACAAGTTATAGCAAACTGGGCTTAAAACCATTTGGGCCGGCCGAAACCCTAATCTGGTCTCCTAATTCTCAGTTGTCTATAAGTGGGCCACTTTGGGCCGATGACTACACATCACCAACA